GTTGGGCTCAAAGATTTAAAAATCCTTTCCAACCTAAACAAATCCACAACTCCAAGAAGAGCTGATCACAACCCCAAAGCAGCAGCACCAATCTCATTTTCCTGAGCTCTCACAGGTTTAACACTGCAGCTGCTCTGGGAAGGAAATTCTGCCTCAGGAAGGAAATCCTGCTGACAGCATCTTTAGGAGGTGCTGAACCACCTCCCATGTGCAGAAAAACCTGGAGCAAGGCTTTCCAGGCTTGGAGAAGACTGAGAGCTGAATTAATTTTAGCCTCAGGAACAGAACAAGACCAGCCTTGACTTTGACAATCCCAGTGCTCATCTGTTTTCCTTGGCTGCAGCACGCAGGGTGAAATCCTATCAGAGCTATCAGTTACTGATACCCCAGCTCCAAATGCCTCCAAAAATAACTGCAGGAGCACCATGCAGGCAAACTTGAACAGGAAAGAAGAACTGGCTCTGTCCAACACATTTCTCAGATTTTCCCTGATGAGCAGCCAAATGTGACAGAAGCAGCTCCGTGTTTTTTTCTCCAGGATTTCTCCCAGTTTGGGTCAGGATTGAGCTGACACCAAAAAGTTGTCACTTAAATATTTCTAGAAATCATTCACTGAAGGAAGTGGCCTGGACAAAGGAATGATTTGATGGAGAGTTTCATTCCAAGAGAAACCAGACCTTGTGTAAGAGAATTCCAAGTGCTTCTGGCATTAGAAAATGGATTATCTGTGTTCCACAGGTGCTTTGTGATCAATTTGCCAGATTTAAACAAAGAAAATGGCATCTAAATCTCTGCAGACCCTGGCCAGATGTCTGTGGTGTGTCTGCACCCTCTGGCTCTCCCCAAACACCAATTCCCCAGTGTCCAAGCCTGGATAGGGATGAGAAATTTCCTGAAAACCTTATTATTGAGGTGGAAAATTAAGATTTTGACTGACACTTTCTCATATCAGCAYCTCAACCCAAACCCCAGCTTTGCAYTGYTCCTGGAAGGTGGATTTKCACTGCAGGAATCTCCTCTTACTGCAATTAAAAGCAAAAAATTTCAGGCTGGTTTTGCCCAAATCTGTCTGAAAAAAAAAGGGGAGACTAAAAATGTGGAAACAGTGACAGAATTGTAAATATATTTATTCAGCATTTGATGCATCCAGTAAAATTTGCAAGCCCTGAGATGATCCTGGGAGAAGATCTGAAGGAATTTTGGTAGAGCTGAGCTCATTCATGCTGCAAACCCTCGATATCACCATTCCCAGGGTCTCCCCTCCCTACCTGATAGCCCTTTGCACTGATTTTTGTGGGGTTTTGAGGTGATTTTTGGTAGGGGTTTGATGTATGAGATCACCACGCTCCTTAAAGATTAATGAAGGATATTTTGGGAAGGAAAAATATGAAACCATATTGGAGAGGTGGAGAAAAAAATGGCTGAGAATTCCTTAAGAAACCAGGACACCATCATACTCTTCCAAGAGCTGCAGACTTACACACAATAAATAAATTTCAATACCCACAGCATTTGGTTTCTCCAAAATAAATTCAGCAAATATGACAACTATTGTCATGAATATAACTTTATGGGGTTTTTTTTTTCAGTGAAATGCTTTTATTTTAATGCCAAACAAAATTCAACCTATTCCCATATAATGACATGATCAAGAAGGAACTTGGGATTGTTGCACTCTCATTAATAATGTACTTTTTATTAAAAAAATACAGTATGGGCTGGATCCAAAATCTACAGAGTTCTAGCAGAGAGTCAGAAATTTTCTTAAAGGCATAGAAAAGATAGTTTAGAAAATTAATTAGGCAATTTAGTGCATTTTAAAGCATTAATTAGTTGCCAAAATTAAAGAGAATAACGACAAGGAGTAAGGAGTTCACAGGACCAAAAGAAGAAGGAAACTTTTAACTGTGGCTCTTCCCTTGGATGTTGTTTTAAAATATCCTTGGCATCATTAACTTCTGTATTTTCAAGCTTGTCTTTATTTCTAGCACTGGAATAGAACCTTCTCCTTTGAGGATGCTCCTTAAGGAACTCAGCTAAAATTGTTTACCAGGATAATTCTCCCTGCATGAATTTTCATGATTTATTTCCTGTGTTCTTATCTGCTTGAAAAGACAGAGAGATTTTTTTTTTTTTCCTTTTTTTGGCTAAAAATTCATAGTTATCAGTAACTGCACTTCGAGCTATGAACACACAGCAGGTGCTGGGGAAAGGAAGGAAAAAAAAGGACGTGGGAAAAGCATGAAACTCACCTTGAGCATCACCAAGTAATCATCATGTCTCTGGATCTGAAGCAGATTAGCCAAAGCCATCACTCCAGCCTTGAAATCAGGATTATTCACTGCAAAAAAAACAAGGATTATCATTAAAAATAAAAGGATTATCATTAAAAATAAATGCTGGTTTAACTGGTTCCAGCAGGCAGAATTGGCTTCCTGACTCCATGGTATTGGAATGGCTCTGAAGGATGGGGAAGGATAATTCATCTCCATCTCTGGGGTTTCAAAAAACAAAGATGTGGCACTTGGGGACATTATTTAGTGGTGAAGGTGGCAGTGTTGGGTTAATTGGTGGATTTGATGATCTTAGAGGGCTTTTCAAACCTTAATTCCATGATTGTAAGGCCATGGATACACAGCAGTGAGAAAAAACTTTTAATCTGATTACAGAGCCTTCAGCACAGGGCTACAAAATCAGGCAAGGTGTTGGAAAATAAATCTGCAAATTACAGGCAGATATTCTCTTTTGTACATTTTTGTACATTTTTATTTTGCACTGTGCTGCTGGGTGAGGGCAGGATCAATCCCTGCCTTTTTGGTGATGCAGGAATGGAAAAAAAAAACCTAAATTGAGGAATTTAGGGTTGATTTTAGCAGCTCTTTCCCACCACTTCCATTTGCTGTGACTGTGCTCAGCAGGCAAAAAAAAATTAAATTATTGTGACAGGAACAGCTGGGGAAGACTGAGGCAACACGAAATTCCTGACAGCATGGAAGTAACCAGCCTGCCATCACATTTCCTTGGATATTTTAATTTTTTTAAGGCATCTTGCCATTTCTCTAAATAAATCCTTTCGATTTACAGAGCGAAGCTGTTCATGTCAATGTTCAGCTCCCTGCATTCCTAAACCTTTAAAAGGGGCTTGGAAAAAAAAAAAATGTTCATCCCAGGATTGAACAAGTTCCAGTTTGAGGAACACACAGGCCCAGGAGGTTGTGGAACACTCACCATCCAGGTTAACCAGAGGCTCTGCATTTTTTGCTGTGTTGTCAGCATTTTTGGCACCATCAGGGGTGGAATCCTTGTATTTATCAGCTGCAAAAAATACAGAGATCATCAGCAAAAAGAACTCATTCAAAGCTGAGCACTGAGCTGTGGTGTTACAGATGGATTTTTGGGGTGTGGTGATCACCCAGGAGCTTTCTGGGTTTATAAAATGAGATTTTGGAGCTCCCTATTAAAGATCCCAAAGGCTGGCACTCCAGTGAGCTGCCCTAAGAGTTCCCACCTGCAGAGAGACCCCAGAAGGCTGAAAAAGCTGCATCTCCCAGATTTGCCACTTTAAAAATCCATCAGCCTCATGCAAAGATCAAGAGTTACAGGATGATGTTGGTCCTGATCAGCAAATAAAACATTTCCAGCTCAGGATTTGCTTCCCAGACTGCAGCACCCAGCGGAGCCCACGCAGGGATTTTCTGAACCTTTGGAGGATGGAATCTCCCAACTCCTCCTTTTTTCACACAATCCCAAGGAACAAACAGCTCGTTCTGCCCATCATGAGGGACTGAGCAGCAGTTCTGCAGATCACAGGTATTTATTTATATCCCATCTTTATCTTGGGCAGAGCTCAGCCCTGAAGGAATTAAAGGCAATGCAAAACCAACATTTTGGCTGTTGTTCTTTTGCCACCAGTAATTAACATTTGTATTCCCACTCTCTCCACAAGGAAATGGAGCTGCTGTGAGTGTGGAGATTTAACTCCACTTTTTTCATAACCTTGTCCTACTTCCCAAGGGTTCCACATCTACTCCCTTTCTTTAAAAAAAAGGGGTCTAAGAATAACTTCTCTGAATAAATGCAGCACTAAATATCATGCATTTAATACACTTCAGAGTCAGTTCTCACTGAGGCAACCCCATAGGGAGAAGGGGATAAATTTCTGGTTACATCCTGAAATAAAATAACAAATGCAATTGTGCTGCTCCAAACCCAAGGGAGCTGAAAGAAAACAGTTCCTCTGAGTTTGGGGTGAAAATGAGCATGAGAAACTGTGTTGTTTTTTTTTTTTTAATGAAAGATACTTTTGACACTGTTCTGAATTTGATGAGAATTTCACAAAAATGTGAATTTGGGCAGGGGAAGGTGGCACGCAGTGATGGTGTTAGGAACAGGTGGAGCACAGCTGATGTCACATCCAACGGCATTGTGACAGCACCTTTGGTGACAAACTGGGGGTGACAGCTCCACCTTCCAGAGCTCAGGGTGCCAAACAGAGATGTCCTGAGCAGAGATCCCAGTGGGATGTTCAGCCTGGAGCAGCTCCTGTTTGTTGCCCTCGGGCTCAGCTGTTTCTACCCTGGCAGCAGCAGCCGTTCGTGCCCGCCCTCCTGGGCCACCCTGGTGTGGGATGTGCCTCCCCTGGAGCACAAGGGCAGTGCCCACATGCATGGGGTGCTTTACTGGAGCACTGCTGCCCTGAGCCTGCTGTTCCTGTCGGGTTTCTTTGGGTATTACGTCGGCAGGAAAATCAAGAAAAAGGTGAGGGTGGGTGGTGCTGAGTGGCCAAAAGCCCTTGGGGACAAAAAAGGGCCTTCCCAGCCTTTGCCCAACCCCAGCAGGCAGAGGTGGGTGCTGTCCAGTGAGGAGAAAACCAGGACAGGCTTGGCATTCCTGGGGATTGCAATGAGATGGGCTTTAAGGGGCCTTCCAACCCAAAGAATTCCACAATTCCTGCCCAAGCTGCTCCCTGGGGCAGCCCAGCCCAGCCAGGCCTGAGGTCCCTCTGTCCCTGTCACCCCTGTCACCATGCCACCTGCCCTGTGCCTCCCAGGAACCTCCCAGGAAGGAAGGATGCTCCTGCAAGACTGCCAAGCTGCTCTCCCAGCTGAAGGAAAACCCTGACTTGCTGAAGAACTACCTGAGCCACCTGCACAAGTGCAGGACTCCCTTTGTCAATGTTTACCAGGTCAGGCTGATGGGGTTTGAAGTGATTTGCCTGGCTGGACACTGCCCTGCCCAGGGGGCTGCACTGGAAGGTCTTTACAGGTTCCTTTTAATCCAAATCTCTCTGTGATTCTCCAGAGGAACCAGCAAGAAAACAGAGGAATACTTAAAGGAGGAGATGGCACATTGGACTCTTTGCCCACGCATTCCCAGCTCTAGAAAAGTTCCCAGGAAAGTCACACATGGCAGTGGATGGAGCTGTCCCAAAGCACTGGGACAGCACCTCTTTGACAATAAATATTGTAGGTGAGGTAAATGGAACATGGAATGGATGCTCCAAGGAAGAGAGGGAGTGGGAATGCTGTAAAGATCCTCCAAACCAAAGGGAAGGAATTYCTGGCTGGGAGGGTGGKGAGGCCCTRGCACAGGGTGCCCAGAGAAGCTGTGGCTGCCCCTGGATCCCTGGAAATATTCCMAGCCAGGTTGGATGGGGCTGGAATCAACCTGGGATGATGGAAGGTGTTCCTRCCCATAGMCTGRATGATCTTTGAAATCCCTTCCAACMCAAACCATCCTGGAATTGTGTRAAATCAATCAGAAACCCCCATTCCCCTCCCATTATGGAATATTAAATCAACTCTCCCATACCATTATCTCCATATTCCAGCCTCACAGCCAAGCCCAGAAGCCAATCCACCGTTTCTTGTCGTTCCTGTATTTTGAAGGGACAGTTCACATCTTTCATGTACTGAGGGGGAAAAAAGAAGAGGAAACAAATGGGATTTTAGTGACCTGAATGAATCAGTTGGGAGCACAGAACTAACAAGTGCCACTGTGAAATGCCTGCTGTGGCATCTGATCCATCCAGGACATGCTGACCTCTAACCCTGACATTGGGCAACAGCATTTTCATTTTAATGAACATTTTTTTATTGTCAGACTGTACCCAGAGAAGCTGAAACACCCTGGGCAGTGAACACAGCAATTGATTCCAGAGTGGGGGGAAAGGGATGAACAGGCACCGGGAATTACAGAGAAAGGAAATGGGAACCAAGGGAAAAGCTCAAGAGCCTTGTGGTGACTCCAAATGTTCAGAGATCACCCAGAGTCCATGTGGATCCAGAAAATCCATCTGGAATGGCACAAAGTGCAGGGATGAGCTCCCCCACATGCTGGCCTGCAGGAGCCTCACCCACCTTCCTTTTGCTACAGGAGAAGCATTAATGCAGAAAAAAAATTGTTTATTTGCAGTCAGTCTTCTTTCTGCTTCAATAGCTGAATCAAATCAGGCAAAAAAAAAAATCCAGATTAGGATGGACACTCCACCCATTGAACAAACAAAGCTGAGGGAAAAATATGTACAAAATTCTCCCATCGTCACAAATTCCCCCAGTTTGGCTTCAACAATACATTTAAATTCCTAGAAATGTAAGAGGTCACCATCAGGACAAATATTCTGAGTTATTTCTGTTCCACCACTACAGCAGCTGTTAAAGATCATTCACACCATTGTTTGGAGCAAGGAAATACCTTCTCAAAGGATTTGGGCCACTCATCACTGTGGATGTTCCTCAAATTCCCCCGGTCCTCAATCTTGTAGTGTCTGATTTTCTGGTCCTCGAGCCAGACAATGAAATTCCTGAACTCTGTTTCATCTGTGGGGAGAAGGAAACGAAGCGGGAATTAACCAATATTTGAAGTTTTGATCCAATTCATACAAATCCTGATGTCTCTGAGCACTTTTACCATTAAAACCCTCCATATATATAAATTAAAAATAAAAAACATGTATCCAATATATCTTTATAGGCATAGATACATAAATATATTAATATAGAGACAGATGTCTATATAAATATATCTCTCTCTATATATATATAGTTATAGAGATATATAGAGATATATATATAGATCTATAGATATATATACAAATATATAGATAGAGTAAACCCATTAAAATTGTATATTCTCTGACCAAAAATCAACCCTGAATATTTTTTTTTTTTTCAAACTTGCTGTAATTAACTGACCTCATCAAAAGGCATCAGCCAAGGGACTGTTTTTATTTGGAATGTAACTGTAATTTATCAAGTACAGAAAGAAAGAAAAGTGAAAAAAATAACAGAGAAATTTGGTTTCTAACTCTGTTTTCTGGACAAACACGACACATGTGATATCAACCCAAATGCTTCTTAAAAAGTACGACATAATCATTGTGGCCACACATTTTCTCCCTTCACTGACTCCTTTCTCCCTCCCTTGACTACTCTTGCTCGCTGATCCCAAATCTCGTTGTTTGGAAGCTGGAATTCCACAATTCCCAGGCTCCGGGGATGTTCGGATGGGCTGACACAATCACGCTGTGACAGAACTCAGAGCTGCTCTCAGCTCCCTCCAAACCCAACTGGGATATTTTGGCTCTGGATGAGTTTTAATCATGGAATAACGGAATGGTTTGTGTGTGAAGGGACCTTAAGGCCTATCCCACCCACCCCCGCCATGGGCACGGGCACCTTTGCGCTATCCCGGGCTGCTCCAAGCCCTGCGCCCCCTTCCCCCGGCCCTCCCTCAGCCCCTCACCCCTGCAGTTGAAGCCGGCGGGGTTGTGGTAGTCGAGAGCCGAGAGCTTGCGGCGGAACATGGTCCCGGTGCCGGCTCTGGCCCCGATCCCGGTCCCGATCCCGATCCCGATCCCGATCCCGATCCCGATCCCGATCCCGATCCCGGTCCCGATCCCGATCCCGGTCCCGATCCCGGTCCCGATCCCGGCGCCGCCTCCCCCGCTCAGGCCGCGCCGATGGCACCGCACGGACCGGAACGAGCGGAACGCCCGCCCCCCGCGCCGAATTCCGCTCGCTCATTGGTCAGCGCTCTGAGTGGCGGCTGTTTCAGCCAATCAGAGCGCGGAATGGGCTGCCGGGAGGGGAAGTGGACGCTCGGCCGCGGGGACGGACGCGGCAGCAGAGGGGGCGGGGCTTGATTGGGGGCGGGGCTTTATTGGGCGGGGCCCGAGAGGGGGCGTGGTCCGGTGAAGGGGCGGGGCTTGGCCGCTGCATTCGCCCAGTGGGGAAAGGGAGTGTGCGCTGCGCTGTACTGGGAGCGCTGGGGACTGTACTGGGGGAACTGGGAGCTGTGCTGGGGGTATTGGGAGCGCGGGGAGCTGTACTGGGAGCTGCACTGGCGGAACTGGGAACTGTACTGGGGGAATTGGGAGCGCTGGGAGCTCTACTGGGGGAACTGGGAGCGCTGGGAACTGTACTGGGAGCTCTGGGAACTGTACTGGGAGCACTGGGAGCTATACTGGGAGCGCTGGGAATTGTACTGGGAACTGTACTGGGAGCGCTGGGAGCTCTACTGGGGGAACTGGGAGCTGTACTGGGGGTACTGGGAGCGCTAGGAGCTGTACTGGAGATACTGGAAGCGCTGGGAGCTGTACTGGAGATACTGGGAGCTCTACTCGGGGTACTGGGAGCGCTGGGAGCTATACTGGGAGCGCTGGGAGCTGTACTGGGAGCTGTGCTTGGAGCTGTACTGGAGAATAGTGGGAACGCTGGGAACTGTCCTGGGAGCACTTAGAGCTGTACTGGGGGAACTGGGAGCTGTACTGGGGAGTACTGGGAGCACTGTGAGCATTGAGCTGTACTGGCAGCACTGGGAGCCGTGCTGGGAGCTATACCGGAGAATAGTGGGAGCGCTGGGAGCTGTATTGGGGAGTACTGGGAGCTGTTCTGGGGAGTATTGGGAACTATATTGGGCAGTACTGGGGAACACTAAGCTGTACTGGGGAGCACTGGGAGCTATACTGTGCTGTCCTGGGGAGCACCGGGCAGCAATGCACTATACTGGGGGGCACTGGGAAGCATGGAGCTGTATTGGGGAGCACTGGGAAGACCTGAGTTGTACTGGGGAGCACTGGTGAGCGAGGATCTGTCCCGGGGAGCAGTGAGCAGCCCAGGAGAGCCGCCAGGTGAAAGCTGCCGGTTCCAGGTTTTTTTTTGGTTTTTTTTTTTTTGTTTTTGTTTTTTTCCGGGCGGTTTTCCCTGGAGAAGGCGATGAAGAGCGGATCGCCCCCGCCTCCCACCCCSGCCTGGCTCGGGTGGCACTTCGCAGACGCGGCGCTGACAGCGTGACGAGCCCAAGCGAGATTCATCCTGACATTTCCCTCCGTGCCAGCCCTTCCCGGCGCTCCAGCTGGCACCGGCACCCGCTGCAGGATGGCACCGGCATGAGCCACCCCCCTTTCGTGTCCCCAGGGGGATCCAGAGGGGCTTGTGCCTCCCTTTCCCTTTAGGACCATTCCTCTGGATCTCCTCCAGCTTCCTCTGGAGTAGGTTAAGGAGGGCAGGGAATCCCTGTCACCTCAGCCTCCTTCAGCTTTCACGGAATTCCGGAATCCCAGAATGGTTTGGGGTGGAAAAAGAGCATCCAGGGCCACCCCATCCATGGGCAGGGACAACTCCCACTGTCCCAGGGTGCTCCAAACCCCATCCAGCCTGGCCTTGGAAACTTCCAGGGATCCAGGGGCAGCCACAGCTTCTCTGGGCACCCTGTGCCAGGGCCTCCCCACCCTCCCAGCCACGAATTCCATCTATCCAACCTAAACTTCCACTCTTTCACTCTGGACCCGTTATTCCTTATCCCGTCCCTGCAGTTCCTGAGGAAATGTCCCTCTCCCACCCCACAGCTGGAGCCACTCGTGTGCCAGCAGTGCCAGCGAGCAGGAAAGGCACAACAGCTCCAGCCGGGATAAAAGGAGCTTGGGAGCATCCCCACAGTGCCCTCAGCCACACGAGTGCCCCACATCGTCCCTGCCCCCGAGAGTGACAAGGATGGGGGCAGTGAAAGCTCCGCTCGCCGCCCCTCCTGCCTTCATCACGCTCCGAGCAGCCCAGTCCTGGATTTCACTCTGGATTCCACCCTGGATTTCACTCTGGATTTCACTCTGGATTCCACCCTGGATTTCACTCTGGATT